TATTTTTATTGATCAAATAAAATAAAATTAATATTTTTAAAAATTATATTTTATTTATCAGCTATAACACTCTCCGAAATTTTTTATGCGTAGAGCTGCTTGTTTGCAACTGTTGCTCCTTTGTAATAATCGCCTGTTGTATGAATATTTAATTTATAGGACTAAATTTTTTTATTTTAAATTGTATAAGAATAAAATATTGTACAATATAGAATGCTTATCGGATTTAGTTTAAAAAAAAAAAACCAAAAGCAAACCAATCAAGGGATAAATTGATCATCTAATTAATTAAAAAATTTATCCCTTGTTATTTCTTTCAAATTAAACATAATATAAATATAAATTTTTTTAACATATGTCTTAAAGACATAAGTTAATATTATTTTTTTATAATAAATTTATATAAAAAAATATAAAAATAAATATTAATTTTAATGTTAATATTATCTAAATAAATTTAATTAAATATTTTTTTATTTTTAAAAGATTTTTAATTTATATCCTTAAGATACATATTAAAAAACCCTATAAATGTAAATATAAAAGAGGCCGTGATATTCCAATCCTCCGGTCCAATGAAGTGATGAGCCCATCAAATTATTGCTAGGGTCATTGGACGGAGATACTCCAACCGGTCCATTTCACGTAAAATAAAAAGTTGACGAAGACTAATTAAATTAATTCAAGGATCATTTTGCATCATGACACCCATGTGGGGGCTGTGGAGATTACTTATATATCGCCACTATAATATAAGTATTAAAAGACCATTAATTCTGAGTTTTTTAAAAATAATGTTTTAAAATATTAATTTAGTAATTAATTTTAATTTATTAATTAATAAATATTATTAATTATTAATATTAATTATTTTAATATTAAAAATGGAAACCCCGTACATTTTTATTAATTATTTGACTTGCACCGGCGAGTTTCACATTCTATAAAAATGTACGCCCAATTTCCCAGCGAAAAATCATAAGGCCTTCTCTGCATTAATAAAAAAAGTCATGGGACTTCTGTTGGCCTTTTAACTCTCTTATAATTAGGTAAATATACTCACAAATTCAAGTCTTCGTCAACAACCAACCTAAATCCTCCCTTTTTCTTTATTAGGACAGAGAACATATGCCTTTTTTCGTCTTTTGCTTGCCTTTGAGTTTGAGGTATGCTTTTTCTTTATTTCATTTCATATGTTGTTTATTACGCATTAGAAAAATATTTTTTTTTAATATTATAAGTTTAAAATTATAATATATTATTATATAATTAATATTTTTCATTTAAATATTTATATGTATTAATTTATTTTTTTATATATTAATATAAAAAATTCATATATTTTAATTTGAATGATAACTTAAAATATAATATTTTTTATAAATTTATTCACAATGTTTTAATAAAATTATTAAATAAACTATATTTTTAATATACAACTTACTTTATAAAATATTTTTTTAATAATACGATAAGCATTCGCTTCTTATGTAATTGATTTAATTATTTGATTTCTTTTGATTGGTAGATTAAAGAATGAACTCTTCCGCGAGAGTAAAGACTCACAGGAAAAACTTAATTATATACGGTGTTTTCATTTCCGTTGTAACTTGTATGCCACGCTATATGCTGGGGTTCCAAATTATTCTGCAGCCACCCAGATGACAGTCTTTTTGTCCTTTGAGAGTACCCAAGTTGCCCAAGTATCCAAGGCTGCACTCACAGTTGTGTCTACAAACTAAATCAAACAGATGCAGTTGCTGATGAAGATCTCCTCTCCAGATTCAGCTTAGAATTTCTGGTATGTTGACGATTTTCAGTACACAAGGTGTTTTGATTCTTTAATTTGTTTCATTTCTTGGATCACTTTGTGGGGTATGCATATGGATGTCCAAAAGGTGTTCGATTATCTGTTTCTGTCTTTAGATTTTCTTTGTATAATTCTTGTTTGCTGTTTATAGGATTTGTGTGCATAGAAATGCCCATTAGGTGTTTGATGCTACGTTTCAGTCTTTAAGAATCGTTAGTGTCATTCTTGTCCATAAAGCCTATAAGGTGTTCGATGATTTGTCTCGGTGATTAATGCATTCCTCATATGACTAGCTGATATATGAGATGACACACTCTCCCTTTAGTAAAAAAAAATCATCTGGAAACCTTTAGTTACAATCATATCTTCACAACAACCCTTGGATGGGTTGGATCATACCTTCATTTGAATTTTGAAGAAAATCCTTTCCTTTCCATCCTTTTTCCATCATTTTCCTTAATCCAAACACAATATAATAACAAAAACATGCCTGTAAGAAAATTCTTTTGCCTACTTGCTAACTATATACCATATAAAAGGACTTTTCTTTTTTGGAAATGTAAATCTCGAGGTTATAAAGAAAAAAAATGTTTTCTTTTTCACTGATATGTTGTCTGGTCACTTGAAGGTTGTCTGCCACATTTCCTTGATGCTATGTTTGGGAACATGAATTTGAGAGGAGTGTATTTGAATTTGGTGTTATAAAGTCAAATACATTGTTTGTTTTTACAAAATATAAGTGTATTTGAATTTTAGTTTAAATACATGTATTTCAACCTATGTATTTTAAAGACCAAATAGCATGTATTTGAAATACCCTCTCATACCTATGAATTTGACAGTGAATTTCAAATTCCCTGCTCATTCTCTCCATCTTCCTCTGCTCTTTGAAGAAGCTCCAATGATCACATTCAAAAGTGGTGGGGATGCCAAGTCACTAATGGAAAGGTAATTTATTGGTGGTTATATCGAGATCTCCATAAACTTGGATTTTTTGAGTTGATGACTTGAGAGTAAGCAAAGTAGACAGCGGCCAAGCCAAGGGAAAGGTAGGACTTCTTGCAGCTTGTAGCACCCACGATGACAACAAGCTTGTATCTTTTATTTTCTGGTAGTGGGCGACGGTGATGAGGGTAGCACAGTTCATATTAAGCCGTCGTGAGCAGTGGTAAAAATGCCTATTAATATTGTCTATCAAGTGTTTGTAAAAATGCCTCAATGAGAGGGATTAACATCAAATCAATTTCAATTTCATGGTAGTTTAATTTATCCAAACTATGTATTTTATTAAGTATTTATAATACATGTATTTGAATTACATGTATTTTAAATACATGTATTTAAAATACACATATCAAATTCAAATTCAAGTTCCCAAACACAACCTGAATATTTTACAATAATTTTTAATTTTTGTTTCATTGACTTCATATTTTGCCGGTCATGAGCTTGCACATGCAGCACATGATATGCATAAGCATACTAAAATTAAATTTAGAAGAAAGTTTGGAATTATTCCTCCAATTTAACTCCCCTGAACAATGTTTAATATGAATTAATGCAAAAATATTGCTTAAAAAAAAAAGAAAAAAAAAAGATTTTTTGGCATATAGAACCACAGTAATTGGTTGATTAATATTTGTTGATAATAAATTCTAAAAGTGTTCATTCACATTTCTTACCAACTGAAAAAAGCCAATAAAATATTGTCACATCATGGCATAAGTATTTTGTTAACAACAAAGATTGCCAAGGCTTATTTTTGATAATAATGATAATAAATAACTTGTTTATTTAAATGAGCAAATTTGATTGGCCAACTATATATGCTGGGTCCTAACCTATACACTCCCTCAAATGAAAACTAATTTGTCGCATAAGAATACTCAAGTTGACCTTAGTATCCGAGGGTGCCTCTCATCCAAAAATAAAACCAACAGATGCATATGATTATCTCCTCTTCAGATTCAAATTAGAATTTCAGGTATGTTGATGATTTTCTGTACACAAGGTGTGTTTGATGCTTTAATTTGTTTCATTAACTTATTGGATCACTTTGTACCTTGTAGGATATATATGCATAGAGATGTCCCTAAGGTGTTCGATGAGTTGTTTCTGTCTTTAAAATTTCTTAGTATCATTCTTGTGTGCGGTTTAATATGCATAGAAATGCCCATTAGGTGTTTGGTGCCTAAGAATCCTTTCTCATTCTTGTCCATAAATGCCTATATGTTGTTCAATGAATTGTTTCAGTCATCAAGCATTCAGTTGGTTTCTCAATTTGCTTCCGTTTTTAAGCAGCCATGTCTTCCCCTGATTCTGGTTTGGGTGGTTCAGGTTCGGGGCAACATGTTCTTGGTAAAAAATTAAACGTTCAAGAAATAATCGAGAAGATACAAGACCTGAATAATCGTCTTTCTAAAGCCAGAGACCAGACCAAAAGTCTCCCTGATGCCAAAAATTTCGATGGCAATCTCAGTAACAACAGCTATGATAATGTAGGTGGAAATGCCAGCATCGTGGCAATAGATGGCATTCAACTGGCAGAGGAGAATGTTGCTACTGATCCTGCCAGCAAGGAAAAGGAGGAGAAAAAAGATGATCACAAGGATGAGAACAGCAAAAAGGGACAGTTTGATCATCAGAAGGTGAAGGGTGAATTGGACAAGTTATGCAAAGAGCTCGAGTTCATGAAACTTGCATTCCAGAAACTCAAGAAATTTGAAGATGATTTGACGAAACCATTCAAAACTCTGGAAAAGAACGTCGATGATATTGAAAAAGATCTACCATCAGCCCCAAATAGATACTCTTCGGCAAAGCAGGTTCAGAGCAATCTTCGTGTGCTAAGGAACAACATCACAAAAATCAAGATCCAGATTCCATTGCAGCACCATACTACTCAGACAAATTCTGAATCTCGTGGTTATAAGGAGACAGTTGCCAGCAAAGAGCATGATGACCTGCCTAACCTGAGTCACAAAAGGGTAGAACTTGAGAAGAGCGCCTACTGTGAAGAACTTTTTCAAAAATATAAGACACTTAAAAATGACAGGCTCAAGTTATGCTTGCTATCATTTGCGGTTTTCCCAGAAAATGCAGAGGTTAAGAAGAGGCTTCTAAGATATTGGTGGGTTGGAGAAGATATAATTCCACCAGAAAAGAAGGAAGAGGAATTTACAAATGAAACTTTAGAGCACTTTGTGAAGATGGAGTTCATTGAGCCTGTTAACAAAAAACATGGATTAAGCCCAAGAAGCTATAGGCTGCAGCCAATTGTTCGTTCTGCCTTGATTACTCTGGCCAGAAAGGAACAGTTCTTTAATTATGATGATGATGGGAACCCTAAAATGGACTTTTCAGATTGTTACAAGGCATGCTTGGTAAAGGCCGAGGAAGAATCTTCTAGACCAATATCAATATCAAAGCATTTTAGCAAGAATGAGGAGGAGCTGGGAAAATTGGAAACATTGTTCAATGTCAATGAGCAGTTCCCTGATTTTAAAGAGGAGTGGTTCTCCAAGATGAAGAAGATTAGAGTTCTTTATCTGGGAAGATGGGAGAGCTCAACTGATCGGCACATTGAAGTGGAAAGCACC